CCACCCCCCCGCCTGGATGAATGAGAATAAGATGTAGGCTCTCGCCTCTAGGGCTTTGTGTTCCAGGCAGAGAAAAAAGCCACAGGCACTTGGCTAGGTTTTAAAAAAGTTACCAAATGGAATGCAGACCTAGAAGTTTAGCTATGTTATTTAAAGTTACAAATGTAGCTAACAAAGAAACAAATAATAAAAATTTAACAAATATTGAGAAGAACAGGGGAGCAGAAGGCCGTGTAATTGAGGTAAATCCTTATTTTTTCATAGAGGGGAGAGAAAACTGAGAGCTTCAGAAATGCAGGTGTGTAGGTATACGCTGGACCTATGGAGATGCACATGAGAGGAATTAAAAACAAAAACCTTGAAAACAAGCTGTGCTTGGAGGTGTGACTGGGAATGCACCGAGATTACTTTGTACTCCATAATGTTCTGCAGACTTAGACTGAACATGCGCATGTGAGACTTTTAATACAATACAGCTTGTAATATAAGTGAAATGTGACTCAAAGGGTGGAAGGTGCCTCTGAGTTTGCTTCCTCCTTCCTGTAAACACTGGAAGCAGGATAAGGCATGCCATTACCAGACAAGAAACCCTGATGAATCTCTACAGGGCAGCAGATACAGGATTGACAGGGCAATAAAGAAGGAATTGTAGCCCAAAAAGTCCCTGGGAGAAGGTACAGGGAGGTGGGTGCACATGCCAGCACAACTGTGGAGGCTCTGAGCGAGAGGGTGCATCTGCCAGGCAGGAGTGGGCTCTGGGAAAAACAGCTGGGGAGTCACCTGGGATCAGCTGGGCCCGTGTCTGACTATAGCTGCCGCTGTGAAACTAAACTCTAAACAGCTGTTGAAAAGCAGATTCAGATTCAGTCAATCTGAGGTGGCTCCCAAGAGTCTTCACTTCTACTTTGAGGCCGGGCCATGCCCAGGCTGCTGGTCCACGAACCACAGTGAATAGTTACAGCACTCCAGACAGACTTCTTCGGGAGGGGCCACTGAGGGGCCACTGAGTGGCCACTGTGAGTGGGAGAGAAAAGGAGGACGACCAATGTCTGAAGACTTTCTGGATAAGGGGCCCTGAGCAAAAACAAAGAAACAACAGAAAAGGAAAGAAGCAGCTCTGTCCAGAACTGAGACACTGCTCACTGAAGCATGCCATTGTGGGAGTAATATGCTGTCAAGTTTATTTATTTTTTTAATAAATAGAGATAACACAAAAGACAAAATAATTGAGTGGGAGGGAAGTATTGACAAGAGGAGGAATCTAACAACAGGTGGAATCAGGTCAGATTTGGAAGAGCCTCAGAGAAAGAAGAAAACAGAAACCTATGTGAAGTTGACAGTGTTTAACCACAAAGTGAGGGCAGACAAGGGCATGGTGGTACTTGGCCTGGTGGAGCTGAAGGTCACTAGCAAAGCTTTTTTGTCCATCCCAACTCCAGTAAACCAGGTAGGATAATTTCCCTGAGGTTAAAGACTCTGTGTTTCAGACTTCGAGGGTCCACAGTATGCCAAGTAAAGAGGAAACATCACCCCTCCATCTGCTTGTCTTCTGATGAACACACAAATGCCCAAGAGATCAGGAAAGTCCCAACAGCTTCCAGAAAGGAGAGGGTGGAGGAAGGAGACAAGACTGGGCACGTCTCCCTAGCCACCCAGATGCTGGAAGGTGGAGACGGGATCTACAGAACAGCAGTGGCTGCCTCTGTCTGAACCCCCAGAACAAGGGGCTGCAGAGGGGCAGCAGGTGGGGCATCGTGTGGATATCACAGCAGCTCGTTCCATCAGACCCGAATTGTGTCCCCAAGTCTGGGGTTTCTGAGAAGAACTCCTGGGCGCGCCCCCGAGGCCAAGCTCTCCCTGATCCACCAGGTCCCCTTGCCCTGGCCCAACTGGCCCGGCACGGGCTCACCTGGACACCTCCGTGTTGGGCTTTCTCCAGCTGCCATCCTGGCCTCCTCTTCTCCTTGTCCCAACCTGAAGATCCTACCTGGTTGGGCCACGAGGAATCCTGTTAAGGGGAAATGACAAGAGGACTTTGTTATTGACACATGAGGCATTCCGGGACCGAGGCCCATCCTTGTAGGGCAGAGATGGTCTGGCCTCGGTGACTGCCCCGTGAGCCCAGCTAGTGGGCCCTCAGTGCAGACCATCCACAGAGAAAGTGAGAGCACAGGCATCCCGTGCAGGGTGCAAACGCCATTATGAATTCTTGACCGTGAGCCTGAGGCCCGATTCATTCAGGGCCCAGATGCCCCTGAGCTGCAGCAGCCGAGAGAGAGGGAGCCCCGGGGGGTGCGTTCCAGTCACCCTGTGAAGGGTCCCTCACCCACGGAGACAAGGTGGCTGTAGTTCTCCAGCATGACATCCCTGCAGAGGTTCTTCTGAGTGGCGTCCAGCTGCTGCCACTCCTCCAGGTTGAAGTCCACAAACACGTCCCTGAAGGTCAAGGTTCCCTGCAACAGCACACTCCTCCTTAGCCCACTGTCAAAACAAGGGGGGCAGTGGGGGGGGGCACTGGCATCTAGAGGGTAGAGGCCATCGATGTTGCTAAATATCCTCCAGTGCACATGGCAGCCCTCCACAACACAGCATTATCTTGCCTAAAGGTCAAGAGGTCAGAGGTGAGAAAACCTGGGGTTGAGCAGTGAAATGGAATGATCATGAAAAGGACTAGAATGTGCTGTAATATGCGAAAAGAAGAAAAGAAAGAGAAAAAGGGATTCATATCAAGATATATAAATAGGCACACATGATTTTCGGAAGAATGCATGAAAAATGAAGGAGACACAAAGACAGGGTGAGAGGGAAAATTATTTTTCACCTTTTAATGAACAAAGTTTTGTTTGAATTTTTTACCATATGCACAGAGTACTTTTTAAAATACTCAATTCAATTTATTAATGCTCTATTCAGAACATGTTTTAGAATGTTGGCATCCATATTCTTAAGTGAAAGTGGTCTTTCACTTTTTGCTTTTTTGTAGTATCTTCCTTGAATTTAAGTTAACTGGCATCATAACATGTACTGGATTCCTTTTCACCTTTTGACAGCCTGGAAAAGTTGAACACAGAAATTATCTGGTCTTTAAAATTTTGTGAAAGCAGCAATTAGTCCAGGATTTGGAAGAGTAAATTTAAAGTGTGAACACCTTTGATTCAAAAATCCTACTTCCAGGTGTATTCTCCATAAATACCTGTACTAATGGGCCAAGAGATACTTAGAAAGTTGTTCATGAGGCACTGTATATAATAGAAAAAGAAAATTAAAAATCTAAGTATCCATTCGTAGAGAAATAGTTAAATGATACTTCTACACCACGAAATAGGAACTGAAATAATCTTTATGTACTGATGAGGAACAAAACCCAGAATATAATCAGGTGGGAAAAGCAAGATGGGTATGGGAGTGTGATGGCACTTGTGCAAAAACACATGTTACATATATGTCTATTTTTAGTTAAATTGATGTAAATGCATCTACAGCACCTTACCACCAAATTGTTAACAGTGGGCATCTGTGAGGAAGATGAGGTACTGGGGAGAGAAGAAGTAGGGATCTTTTGGATACTGTTTTTATGCATATTGGAACATGAGACATAGATTTACTTTCATTATTTCAAACATAATGAAAAAGCAAAAAGTGAACTGAAAGTGAAGAAATAGAAAAAGCAAGATGAGTCTATGTATTTAAACAATCTTCTCTGAGAAGGAAAAGAAAAAAAAGAAGAGCAGTTCCAAGAGTAAGAAGTAGATTTTAAAAGTCTTTTCCTTTCTATCTTATCTTATTCCTTTTTCTTTTCTCTTTTCTTTTGGTGAGGAGGGGAAGGATTGGAGAATCTGAGGTGAATGACAGGTTGAACAGAAAACAGCCAGAGCCGAGGAGACTAACAGATTTTTCAAGGCTGCAATGTAATTTCTTAATTGCTGCCTCAAATTCACTGGAAACAAAGTAGGGGGTAAATTAGGAACTCACCTGGGACACGGCCATCTGGCTCTGCCCTGACAAAGGATGGAGATCTACGAAGGCAGAATCAGGAGGGTCGAGATCAGTGCATACAGCCATGAGACCACCAGCACCAGCTTAATAACAATCACTCTTGCCCCACAGCGGGGATGATCTGGACACGTGGCCTGGTAGCTCCAGCCTGTTCCCCTGGGACACGGCTAAGATCCTGTGTGTTTTCCACGGGAATTTATTTTCTCTTCCTGGACAGATTTATGACTTGTGTTTAAAGACATCTCCTCAGAAGCCATTAACAATCTGACATGTCCTTTCTCTCAGGAATTCTATGCCCGGAAATTTATCATAAAAAGGCAATCATAAATAAGCACAGGCTACAAGGATGTTAACTGTAGGTGTTTCCACCATTCAACAATTTGGAAGCAACTAAACCTCCAGCAAAGGGGACTCAGATCAAAAATTAGACACACAGCATGGGAAATACCACATGGGCTTTAAAAATGCAATGCAATCCTGTTCTCATTTCTTAACATATTTAAAAGTAGGTTACCAGAAAGCAAGTGCAGTGTGATCTCCTTTGTTAAGCAATATGTATTTATTGAGGAAGAGCAGTCCAGAAGAGCATTTATGAAAACGTTGACACTGCTTACCTTCCAGTGGTAATTCCACCTTTCCTCTTTTATTTACTTGCATTTTTTCATTTTTCACAATATCATTTACTAGTAAAATAGAAAGGGGAAATTATTACAAATCACCTATTATCACACTGAGCCCTGGAGGTGATAGACCCTGAGCAAAGTCTGGAGGACAGGGACAGCTTGCTGTGGTTTGGAGGAAGGAGACAAACCAGAGCTGAGTGCAGGGCAGAAGGGAGGGGCGAGGAGGGAGGAGAGGCGGGGGGTAGAGGGAGGTTAAGGGCCAGGCATTGGTCAGTTCCACGTGGAGCTGGAAACCACTGACCTTGTGCCAGTCTCCTTCGGCCCTTCAGTGGGCCACCACCACCCTGTTCCCGCCCCAATACTTCCTTATTTCCCATTATGTCCATTTGATCGCCATGCTCTTCCTTATTTGGCGGTGTTCAAAACACAGTTTCAGCAAGGAGCTTTTGTTAACCATTGCTACTGTAGCAATCCCTGCCTTAGGATCAGGACAACAGGGTTCAGCAAGATGCAGCTTGATGAGTCACTTCCCAGACCCAGTTACTAGCATCAAAATGAGAGGCAGCAGAGCTAGGTGACGGCCTACCTAGAGACCACGCTGAAAGGTCACAGACACACAGAAACCAAAGACACCTCTTTGGTCATCTAGTCAGGGTAGAGGAGATTCAACATTTCTGCTACAGGTAAGTGGGTTGTTTATACTATGGGACTGACTCAAATCCAAAAATAGCCCAGGTGACTTCCCTGGCCGAACAGTGGGTAAGACTCTGTGCTTCCACCGCAGGGGGCGCGGGTTCGATCCCTGCTTGGGGAACTAAGATCCCGCATGCCGCGCGGGGCGGCCAGAAACCAAAAACAAAGAAACAAACAAACAAAACAAAAATAGCCCATGGCACAAGAGGGAAGTATAATGACGTGTGCACAAATGTGTCAGGAGTGGAGAAAGTCCCGTGAGGCAGTTGGTCAATCTTTCCAGCCTGATCCTGCCTTTGCAGGCACTACAGCAGGGCAGCGTCCCTCCATCCGTCTGTAACTTTCATCCCTCTCCTCCAATAGGGGTTCAACTGACCACCATCACACAGCTCTCGATGGTGGCTAGAAGTTGAGTCACCGAGTCAGCCTTGCTCTCTCTCAGCTGAAGGAAGGGACAGAAGGCACTGCAGGTCCAGTCCTTCTAGGACCTGCTATCCTGTGAGCCCCTTCCCTCTAACCAGAGCATCTGGGTCTGTCCTGTGAGCCTTCCCCCTCTGCCCCTGGGGTCTGGGCTGGCGCTCCTCTTCCAGCTCCCTTCAGAGGAGCTATTTTATTTCTAAGGAGCCAGGACCCAAGGATTCAAAGACAAAGGTACCTTTGCTGGGACCATCACTTCAGGACCATGTCTCTGCCTCTGACCCGAGGAGCTCACCTCCTTCTGAGGCCTCAGACTGGGTCTTCTGTAGTCTAACTAAGGAAGCCCATGGCAGATCAGCTGGTGTCTGAAGCTGCTGAGCCGTGGGCTCAGTTATGAACCCTGACCCTGGAAAGGCAATGACCACACAGGCGATGCAATTAGCAACCTCCATGATGGAGCGAAGTTGAGGAAAACCCCAAAGTTTTCCTTGCCACCAGAAGGCACAGTGCCTCACTCTAGTTTTAAGAATTGACATTCAGTAAGAGCTCAATTACCGCCCGATAAGGTCTGGGCTCTGGAACGAAACTGACCGCCTGCTCTGCCGCTTTTATTCGTTTCATAAGAGGTCAGGGCCTACTGTGTGCCTGTTCTACTGTTCTGCGGGTTCTACTGTTCTACGTGAACAAAACTTCAGCTTTCCCCCATCTTGCGGAGCCATACTCTTAGCAGGGGAGATACAGACAGTGAGTCAGCAAAGTGATAAATTTAGGGTGCGTCTGTTGGAGAGGCATAAGCGTTATGCTGAAAACACGAAAAAAGAAAAAGGACCCCTCCACTTTACTGTGTGACTTTGGTTAGGTTTCCCAGCCTTTCTGTTCTTGCTTTCTCTCTGTAAAACAAAGAGCATCCTAGTACCTACTCACAGGGCTATTGTGAGCAGACTACTGCGAAACACAGCGGTGCCCGGCATTTACTAGGCACTGAGTAAACTTTGGTCGCTGAATGAATCAAGCAATGAACCAATCCCTCGCTGCCCCCCGTAGCCCCCCCCCCCTCCTCACCACCGCGGCCCTGTCACTCAAGCCCCCAGGGGAGCGACCTCATTGCCCAAGGCCCCTCCGACCTCCCCATCCAGCCCATCCCCAACTCCGCCTCCCCTTACTCCACCGCCTGGAACCCGAGGTCTCAGGGCAGATAACAACCGCAAGCGTCAACTCACACCGCCATCGGGGTCAAGCAGGGCACTTCCGCTCGCCGTCGCCCCGGGAGCCCGAGCGCTGTGCACGCGCAGGAGCGGGCTTTGGGGACGGGGGAGCAACACAGCCAATGGGCAACACGGCGCCTTTCGGGGACAAAGGATTCTGACGTGGTTGCCTCTGAGGTTAGATGGAGCGACGAGAGCGTGCGAGCATTTTCCGCGACGAGTCGTACGAGAGGCTGGGGAGGCGTCTCGGGCGGCGGGAGGCGAGCGGGCTCCGCGCGGACTGTCGTGGCGATCCGAGTCCGCCGCCTCCGAGGCCGAGGCCCGCTCTCCCAGTCCGTTCTCCCGCGCGGCCGGGCCTCCTTGTTGCTGTGCTCCCTGGGGAGTTCCCGCCCCGCCATCTTCCAAAGCCACGCTCTCCTCTTTCTTTAGATCCTCAGAATAAGAAAACGGTAGTCGTGCCTGCTGCCTCCACGGCGGCACATGGGCGCGGCCATCTTGGGCGCGGGGTGGAGCCGTCGGAGCCGGGCTCTGGTCTCAGGCCAGGGGTCAGAGAGCAGGGTTCAGGCTCAGTCGGGGAAGCAGCATGGAGGAGGGGCTGGGAGTTGGGCTGCAGGGCAGGCAGCATGCACAAATGAGGAGGAAACCATGATGCCTGATTCTCCTGAAATAAATCGAGGAACTCCGGTTTCTGGGACCTTGGGGATCCTTGGAGAATCTGGGCTTTGCCGGTTGGAAAGCACAGCATAAAGTGGGGGGGGAGAGCTGTTTCTCTGACGATGCCAGCCAGTGGCAACATGGCCTGCTAAAAGTCCTGTAGTGCCCTTGAGGAAAGTTTTCTGTTCCCTGTCGGGGTCTGGGGAAAGAGGCCAAGTGTGTGCCGTGTGCTTGTGGTACCTGCGTGGTCACCAAGCAGAACTCCTTGGGCTGGGCAAGGCAGGGTCTGGGCTCAGTACACCCAATTCCTTCTGTGCTACAGCCAACAGGTGCCAGGCACTGTTGAGAGAAGCAAGTGACAAAAGCAGTCATGGAAGCCAACATACATTTATTTACTCTTCCATCTGAACATACTGCTTTCTCCCTGTCTTTCCCTTTCGCCTCTGAGGAGGTGGTGGCATGTGTGATATTCCCAGGTTGGTTGGATGAATCATTGCCCAGATCTACAACCTGGAGGTCTCCTGGGAAGTGACTCTGTCCCAGTCTTGTGTAGAAGTCGCGGGAGAAGAGTCTGTTTTCTGTCAGTCAAGTGACTGGGGACTTGCCCCCCCCCCCCACTGTGATTCTTTGTACCTTCTTAAATGTTGGCCAGGTTTAGGGATGCTAACCTATTTATTTCCAGAAGAGAGGTGACCTGATAGGTTTTTCTGACACCACTGTCAGGAGGCAGGAGAAAGTTAATAGAGTTAGTATGACAGTGTCCTGAGGACAGTAGAGAAGCCCCCAGCTGCAGAAAGACCTGGTCATTGGCCCTGGTCAGACGCTCCCCATATCCTGACTCTGCAGGAATGAGTGCTTTGTCAGAAAGAGAAGGGGCTGGTGAAGGGCGTGCAGTTGTTGCTCATGCCGTGCCAGCATTTCCTAGTGTGACTTGGGCATCCAGGAACCAAGAAACATGCCAAGGTGTTCTTCCAGCCCACACTCCGCCCAGCTGTTGGGATCTAGCGATCCATAGAAGAGAAGGCTTGGCTCCACCACTTACCGGCCCTTTGGGCCTCTTCTATGTCATAGCTAAAGACCACACATCCCAACGGGCTGTCAGGATTGTTTAAAGGAACATCTCTAGCGCCCCCAGCCCAGAATGTGTCCTAAGGCAGGCACCTGGTAAGTGGTGGTATTACCAAAGCAAGCTTGGGTCCACTCACCCACATCCCATAAAGCCAATGTACTGACACCAGGTCGTGGTGAAGGAAAGTACAGCGTGTACTGCAGGGCGCCAAGCAAGGAGTCCAGGCAACTAGGGCTCAAAAGGCCTGAACTCCCCGATGGCTTTCGGGGAAGGGTTTTTAAAGACAGAGTGAGGCAGGAGGTTATGGGATGTGTGATCAGCTCATGGACATTCTTCTGATTGGTTGCTGGTGAGGTAATTAGGGAGTCAACCTCATCAACCTTCTGCTTCCAACCAGTCTGGGGTCTAAGTGCTTGTGGTCAGCATGCAGTTAAGGTCTTCCACCTGATGGGGGTTTCAGTATCTGCAAAACAGCTCACAGGATATGGCTCCGGATATTAGCTATCGCCCTTGGGGAGGAACTGAAGGTCCTTGACTTTGTTTAATGGCTAAACTATTATTTTGTCTTGCTTGACTGTTTTCCTTTGTTTCTGCATTTTCTCACTTCTCTGATTAAATTATTCTTTGAAACTTGGGGAAGACCAAGGAGGCTAAAGTTTTTCTACAGATGAGAAGCAGGTGGAGAACATGGGAGGGGTCTGTCCCGGGAAGGCCTATAGGGTCCTGCTTGGTTACCGTGGCAGTTTCTGCTGTCCTCTCCCCAACACTAGGGAGCGTGCTGGTGCCAATGCTGCTCCTTCCTGCACTGTGTGCTTCCCTCCCCTTCGCCACCAACCTTGCCCAGGGTCACCATTGATAACGTCTTTTTTTTTTTTTTTTTTTTTTTTTTTTTTTTTTGCACAGGGCCCAGGAGTGAACCTGGGCCCTTGGCGGTGAGAGCACAGAGTCCTAACCACTGGACCGCCAGGAATTCCCTGAAAACATGTTTTTAAATGGCAGTTAGGCCTCTAATTAAGTTAAAATTCATTGTAAAGTGTAACCCCAGAAGGCCCAGGTTACTCAAGCCCTTACGTTCCCAAGAAAAGCCTGTCTCGGGAAGACTGGTCCTTGTCCCACTCCTGGGAGAGCACCACAAAGAGCCTGGCGTGTTCTGCCTAGTAGGGTATTTCTGTAATCCAGGCACCTCTGTTCCATCTGATCAGGTGCTTCATGCTAATGGTGTGACGTATGGTGAGGGTCTGTTTTGTATGTCTGAGGCCCTCGGCTGTGTTAGTTTGACATCCGGGGGCTGTAGACCGAGTAGCTAAAGTGAGTGACATGGAAGCTGCATGCCTGCATGACTGACCTCCAGTCAAATCTCTGGACCCCTAGGCATGGGTGAGCTTCCCTGACTGGCAACACTTTGCATGTGTTGTCACACATCATTTCTGGGAGAATTAAGCATTGTCCATGTGACTCCTTTGGGAGACGACAACTGGATCTCACCACTGGTTTGCCCTGGACTTCACCCCTGCACCTTTTGCCTTTGCTGATTTTACTTTCACTGTCATAAATCCTAACTATGTGTATGGGACTTCCCTGGTGGTCCAGTGGTTAAGACTCCATGCTCCCAATGCAGGGGGCCCGGGTTCGATCCCTGGTCAGGGAACTGGAGCCCGCATGCCACAACTAAAGAGCCCATATGCCTCAACTAAGACCTGGTGCAGCCAGATAAATAAATAAATAAATAAATAATTTCTTTTAAAAATAATAATAATTCTGTATATAACAGCTCAGCAGGACTCACAGACTCTGAAAAGAACTAACAGCTTTTCTGAGTTCCGAGTCCTAGGGAATCTTCAAGCCTGAGGGTGGTCCTGGGGAACCCGAACATACTGTTGCTGTAGATTCTGAGGTTGGTTTGTTTCAACCATCCCAGTGGGTGGACCTCATGAACACGGTGTGACTCCGCCCCGAGCAGTACACTTGCTTGGTTTTTGTGCGGAGGTTGCAGACCTGAGGAGCAGCAGCCGGAGGGCACTGCTGTGATTTTCCCGCCTCCGAGGAGCAGAGGTCCTGAGTACTTGCAGTGGGCAGCAGCTGAGGGAGCTTGCTTTCTTGCTGTGGTGCAGGGTTCTGCTGAGGGTCCCTGGTACCTTCCTCTTTCTGGAAGTCTTCCCTGCAGTGACTGAGGTGACAGGTCCATCAAGCAATGTCTTGATGACGTTCTGCTCTTTGAACTGCGTGAGTTCCTGTAGGAAAGGGAAGGCCAGTTGCAAGTGTTCATCTCCTGCTGCACTGCATCGCTGTGTGTGCCACTGCCTCTGCAGATTTCCCACAGGCAGGAGAGTGTGCAGAGTGAATGGGGTTGGAATAGACAAAATGGGAATCCACCCCAGGGAACTGGTTGATGGCTCCAAAATGGTGGCATGAAGCCAATCACATGACTGTCAGGTGGCACAGAGTTTAAAGCTTCAGTCTTTGGATGACTGTGTCTGTTAGTTGAGAAGTGTGTGTACCACAGTAAACCCCAAAGGAGGAAGACTTCAGCTAGCTGATGACGATTCTACTTTCAAGGTCTCTCTGTTATTGAAGGATGTTGTAATAAGCCAGAGTATAATAATATGTACTGTGGACTTCGACTCTACCAGGCACTGTGCTATGTTATTTATATTCATTTATAATTTAAAATTATTAGTAGAATCCCTCACTATTATTATACCATACCTTCCAGATCGGGAGACTGCATACAGATGTCTAAGTGAGTTATCCAACTCTTCACAGCTAGTAAATGAAATAAAGAGTTAAGATTAGGCAGTTTGGCTCCAGAATGCATACCCTTGACTTCTATACCATTCAGTAGTCATGAGCACATCCTCATTTAAGAAAAGGATCTGGATGGTTACATGTCTTGGTGAATTTTGTGGAGCAAGTAAGTGGCAGAACTCAAACTAGAATTTAGGTGTCCTGACTCCAGATCCCATTCATTTTTCAAGGTGATTTGTCTTTTCCCCCTGTCCTCTGGAGCGGTACATCTTAGACTTGAATTTACATAGGGTTCCCCTAGGGATCTTGTTAAATTGTAGCTTCTGATTCAGTAGTTCTGTTGGGGGCCCTGAGTGTCTGCATTTCTAACAAGCTCCCAGGTGGTGCCAATATGCTGGTCCTCAGAACACACTTTGAGTCCAAATAAGGTTTTACGGACCCTCTGGTTTAGCAGCTATTACTTCTGCTTGGAACACACACACACACACACACACACACACACACACACACGGAGACACAGTGATGAGGGAGTAGGATTGGGGTGCTCTCTGATCTCACTAGTGAGACCCCTCACTAATTCCCTTTTGGCGTTGAAGACTCTGAGGCCCGTGGAGGGAGAGGATGCTTCAGGGAGTTGTTAACAGGCTGAGACTGGGACCTATTCCACTTGACTCCCCAGGCAATGTGCCCCTCTCCTCCTTCCCTCCCTCTGTTGCACAGGAGCTTCTGGGGGAAGAGAATAGTAAAGGAATGGGCATTGTTCAATGATGGGTTATTTAAGACTTTATAAGAACCACCAGGGTGATCTCCATTCCAGGCCTCCTTGTCTCCATGTTGTACTGAACACAGGTCTCAGCTGCCCAAGAGGACCCAGCTGTACTGAGCCCAGGTCAAAAGGTCAAAATATTGCGTTGGCCAAAAAGTTTGTTTGGGTTTTCCCATAAGGTGTTACAGAAAAACCCGAACAAACTTTTGGGCCAAACCCAATAGCTCTCCTCATAGGTCTGCATACCCATGCAGGCACCCCTCCGGGGAAAACGGACCCACAGAGGTCTCTCTGATGGTCAGACACTATTTTTAAGCACACCCCTGTCTACAAACCCCAGGGACTACCAGTAACTAGATACATGCTACTACTCTTGTTTTAGTCTGGGTAAGCCAAACTACTGGAATAATTAGATGGAAAATATAATGGCTCAGACACAACCTTTCTTGCTCACATAAGAATCAACCATGGGTAGTCCATATTGACCGGTGGTGTTCCTCCATATAGATTGAGGCTGTTGGCATCTCTGCCCTCTTCAACATGGCTTCCAGGGCACTCTAGTTGTCATCATTCCTGGAAGTGAGAAAGAGAATGGAGGAGCACAGGTCAGGAGCCACCACTAGCTTTCAGGATCACCATGGTACAGAAAGTCAGGAAGTTTTTTCTGAGACCCAGAGGTCAAAAAACTGCAGAAAACCATTGCTGACAGCACAGGTGTCCCATGGCCCCAGGGTGGTTGGGTGATTAGCATAGCATGGAGTCTAGCAGGTGCTGCAAAACTCACATCTGCTTACAGCAGAAATTAATACAACATTGTAAATCAACTATACTTAAATAAAATTAAAACCAAACAAAACTTACATCTGCTGAAAAATACTTGCCTACTCTTCCTGCTAGAGGAAAAGTATGGTTTCTAACTCCCTTCTCCCTTCCAAATTTCACGCAGAGAGGTCACATTGGCAAGCAAGTCTGAGAAATGTAATCTCAATGCTTCCAGCCCCGGCAGTACAGGAGAGGGGATGGGAATGGGAATGTCGCAGAGTGCCAACAGACAATGCCTGGCACATCTTTGGAAATCCCATTAAAATTGAAAGATTTGTCTCCCTTTTCCTCCTTCCAGACTGAAGTTGATCCCTGCCGATGTCTCCAGTGTCACTCTGCAAACTGAAGCATCAACTGCTGAGGCAAGCAACAGTGGTTTGTGTCATGGAATTGTCTTCTTCTCCTGACCCTGGACCCTATGGATATCAAGTGAGCCCTAATTTGTGCTCTCCACTATCTTTGTACACACTTGTACATGTATGTTCTTACAGACATGCAGGTACATACACACAGACCCACATCTCAGACAGCAGATCCTCAAGTGCAGAGTACTGGCCTCCAAAGCCCTGAGTGGAGAAGCCCAAAACATTCATAGGTGTTAGGGCCAAGGAGGCTTCAGAGAGTTGGGAGAAATTCCTAGATTCTGCCCAAATGCCCCTGACCTCAGAGGCCAAGGCTGTAGTCATGGGGGCATTCGGGTAAAGAGCATCCTCCTGGGTACTGAGCTTGGAGATGGATTCCAGGATTTATTTTATATGACACCTTTGAGAGCATTCCTTTCAATGGAAAGAACTTTCTCCCCTTCCTGAGGGACCAGTCCACTCAGTAAAGACTCAGTGAACATGAGCAAATTCTAATGAATGAAGACTCACATTTCCCAAGTTGTGTTCCTGTTGGAGGAATTCTTAAGTCACCGATTCTGACCTAGAGGAATCTTTTGCCAGAGGAAATGAAGCTAGAGAACCTAGATCAAGACTGGCAAGTCTGTTGCCCTTATGCTGCCATTATATTCTGCATACACGGCAGCTATCGTTTGTCAATAATGTGAATTGGGAGATTGGGATTGACATATATACAATAATATGTATAAAATAGATAACTAATAAGACCCTGCTGTATAAAAATTTAAAATAAAATAAAATTCAAAAAAATAATAATGGTACTCTTTCTGGTCAAGGTCAGACAGGCTCTTAGAATTCTTCTCAACAGTACGTTCTAGATTACCTCTACCAATCATAGTTGGTAATTATGTTGAAACCTATTTGCTATGCCTGCCCTAGGTCAGCATTTCACAAAATGTCTTCCATGAAACACTGGTTCTCTGGCTTATTAACAATCATGATGTGAGTAAAAGGTTCTATGATCATAAAAACTTGGGAAACATTGTTTAGATGTGTTTTTTTTTTTTAATGGAGGGACTTCTACAACCACTAGGATACTATGTAGGTAGGATACTATATAGATCTCCCAAAAGGTCTGTAAAATACAGCATTTTCCAGGGCTTCCCTGGTGGCGCAGTGGTTGAGAGTCCGCCTGCCGATGCAGGGGACACGGGTTCGTGCCCCGGTCCAGGAAGATCCCACATGCCGTGGAGCGGCTGGCCCCGCAAGCCATGGCCGCTGAGCCTGCGCGTCCAGAGCCTGTGCTCCGCAACAGGAGAGGCCACAGCAGTGAGAGGCCCGCGTACTGCAAAAAAAAAAAAAAGGTAAAAAAAAAATACAACATTTTCCAAATGTATTTCACCGTAGAACTCTTTCCAAAGAACGTGTTGGGAGACAAAAAGGATTATACGTGGAATAATAAGAGGCTTCCTCTGGGTGGCCTGACAGTGGGCTAGGTGGGACCAGTGGCTCCTCCTCCCCCAGATAGAGTGAGGGGCTGCTCATGATCTCAACTTCCCACAGGGCTGCTGGGCAGCTGTCATTTTCAGCATTCCCCTGAACATCTGGCACCTGAGCTCAAATACTTTTCCTCTGCTTACAGTGGCACTTTCATGCTCGTGCTGTGAAAAGGAAGATTGTCAGGGGGTGGTCCTGGTCCAGCTGCACCCAACCCAAGCATGTCTCTCTACAGGATAATGAGAGAATGTGAGACTTGTGCTTTTTGCTGATCCATGTGTCTGTGACCCAGCCTGCCTCAATGATGCTTGCTGGTGATTGAGCCGTTTGCCTGGCAGTGGTACCTAATGTGGAGTGAACATGGCAGAAAAGTTGAACTGTTTCACTTGAGGGGTGGGAAGCATCCTCTCTGGGGTTGAGGACAAATCACCAGTAGTGCTCATGATTGAATGGCCTCATTTTCTGTGGGCCACAAATGCCCCTGAACTGGCAGGCCATGTGAACTTATGGCCTTATGATTGTATGGCCACAATGTCTATAGGTCCCAGAAACACTGCTAAATGGGCAGCTCATTTGCTTCTTGGTGGCTAGTCACTGTGTAGTTAAAATGTCTAGGGGCCACAGATGCACACCTGAATGGGCAGATAATTTGGCTGTGTCACTATGAAAAATTGAGGCTGTGAGACAAGGCTGCCCATTGTTAGATCTCTCGTCTACTCTACTTTTGAGCTTTTTTTTTTTTTTTTTTTTTTTTTTTTGTGGTATGTGGGCCTGTCACTATTGTGGCCTGTCCCGTTGTGGAGCACAGGCTCCGGACACGCAGGCTCAGTGGCCATGGCTCACGGGCCCAGCCACTCCACGGCATGTGGGATCTTCCCGGACCAGGGCATGAACTCACGTCCCCTGCATCGTCAGGCGGACTCTCAACCACTGCGCCACCAGGGAAGCCCTAGTTTTGAGCTTTAAAGCTCTTTCATCTTTAAAGATGAAAAGAAAGGGACAAGAGAGGGCCCCTCAAATCCGGACACCACTGTGGCAGCTGATGCAGCCCAACCCCTCCGATTTTATCATCATTCAGATAGAGGACTTTTGGAGAAAGTCAGGTGCATGTAAAAATGTGACACTTCATGGAAATAGTAAGGCTTCCCCCAAGACTGGTACCATGAAGGGCTGAAGGAATCTGAGAGAGTGTATAATTTGTCTAGATGAATCAATTAACTTTTTTTTTTTTAATTTTCGGCTGTGCCACATGGCATTTGGAATCTTAGTTCCCCGACCAGAGATCGAACCCATGCCCCCTACACTGGAAGCACGGAGTCCCAGCCACTGCACCACCAGGGAAGTCCCTCAATTAACTTTTATCATTCCATTTCCCTTCTATCGCCCTGGTAGTTTTGCAGTCTTTAATTATTATTATTATTATTATTAATTTATTTTTTTTGCTGTACGCGGGCCTCTCCCTGTTGTGGCCTCTCCCATTGCGGAGCACAGGCTCCGGACGCGCAGGCTCAGCGTCCGTGGCTCACGGGCCCAGCCGCTCCACGGCATGTGGGATCTTCCTGGACCAGGGCACGAAGCCGTGTCCCCTGCATCAGCAGGCAGACTCTCAACCACTGTGCCACCAGGGAAGCCCCCTAATTATTATTTTAGTGGTTACCCTAGAGATTATGACATACACCCTCAATTTATGTCTTCTGTAGATTAATACTTTTACTGCTTCTTCCACAATTCAACGATAGAAAATATTTTAGCTCAATCCCCTCTTATCATTTATACTATTGTTGACCTGAATTTTAATTCTACATATATTTTAAGTCTCTATGCATTATTATAAATGCTTAATACAGTCAGTGTTCATATAGTTTTATCCACATATTTACTCTTTATTCTTCATAACGCTTTCACTTTTTATTTTTTAAGCATCATTATTTCCTAACTTTAAGAAATCCCTTTGGTGTTTATTTTAGTGTAGGTCTGCTGGCAATTAATTATATCAGTTTTGGTTTTTCTGAAATCAACTTTATTTCATCTTCGTTTAAAAGGATATTTTCCTTGAGAATAGAATTCTAGGTTAGCAGTTATTTTATTTCAGCACTTTAAAGATATCATTTCACTGTATTTGTTGAAAAGTCAGTTGCCATTCTTATTGTTTCTCCTTTGAATGTAATGTGCCTTTTTTCTCTGGCTGCAATTAGATTTTCCTTTTTTCTCTTTTGTTTTCAGCAGTTTGACTATGATGTGCCTAGTTATGATTTCCTTTGTATTCATTCTGCTTGAGATTAGTAGAGCTTTTTGAGTCAGTGGCTTGATATCATTTGTCAATTCTGGTATCTTTTCAATCTGGTATTCTTTCCAATTAAACATATATTGAACCTTTACACCATGTTCCATGTCTCTTACCCTCTTTCCATTATTTTTCGTTCCTTTTTTTTCATAATGCTCTAGCCTGCATAGTCTCTGCTAACTCATTTCCAGTTCACTAAGTTTCTATTATGCTATATCTAACATCTACTTAGTGCTTAATTTAAGCTGTGTTTTTTAGTTCTAGAATCCCCATGTGATTCTTTCTAATGTCAATAATTGTGTCACCTAATTTCATTTTTTTTTATGTGGACCATTTTAAAAGTCTTTATTGTATTTGTTACAATATTGCTCCTCTTTTATGTTTTGGTTGTTTTGGCTGGGAGGCATGTGGGATCTTAGCTCCCTGACCAGGGATCAAACCTGCACCCCCTGCTTTGGAAGGTGAAGTCTTAACCACTGGACTGCTGGAGAAGTCCCTGTCACCTAATTTCTTGAACACAGTAATCATAGTTTTTTTTTTTAAAGTTGTGTCTGATAATTCAAATATTTGGATCACTATCGGGTTTATTTATATCACCTGTTTTATCTTGGTTTCCTTCATCTGATTCATGGCATGCCTGTGATATTTTTTTTGTTGTTGAATGCCAGAAATTGTATATGAAGTGTTTTAAAAATTTTCTCTGGATGATGTTTCATCCTCTAGAAATAATTTACTTTTCTTCTGGAGGCCAAATATAGTAGAAGCAGATAACCTTGGTCCATCAAGGATTAAGATGAGGGCTTCCCTGGTGGCGCAGTGGTTAAGAATCTGCCTGCCAATGTAGGGGACACGGGTTCGAGCCCTGGTCCAGGAAGATCCCACATGCCACGGAGCAACTAAGCCCATGTGCCATAGCTACTGAGCCTGCACTCTAGAGCCCGCGAGCCACAACTACTGAGCCCACGTGCCACAGCTACTGAAGCCCATGCTCCTAGAGCCCGTGCTCCAGCAACAAGTGAAGCCACCGCAATGAGGAGCCTGCGCACCACAATGAAGAGTAGCCCCTGCTCACCGCAACTAGAAAAAAAACCCGTGCGAAGCAATGAAGACCCAATGCAGCCAAAAATAAATTTAATTAATTAATTAATTAATTTTAAAAAAGGATTAAGATGATCTGAGAATCTATTTAATCTTCATGAGGGCTGATGTATAACTGGTTTGCCTCTCCTAGGAAAAAGCCATTCAGGATTTTTACCTGAAAGCCTGGAAGACCCTGATCTCTAGTTTTCTAGTTTTTGTCTCTATTACTATGAGACTTCCAAAAGCTCTGCTTAAGTTTTTAGCTTTTTAGTTGCTGCTTTCTGCTTGACTTCATGACATCTTGTCTTGTGTAGTTTAGAAATTGAACTATGCTCACAATTTGGAGCTCAGTTTTCTGTGGTTCCTTTTTTTGTTGTTGTTGGATCTTGACCTTCAAGTCTTGGCTGCCTTAATAAAAAGCAGTAAATCCAATTTTTGTGCCCTACTTCATGAGACTTCTCAAAGCTATGAATCACTATTTTCT